TTTGTTGACCTTTTCAAAGAACCAACTCCTAGTTTTGTTGATAGTTTCAATTGTTTTTCTGTTTTCTATTTCATTTATTTCTGCTCTAGTTTTTATAATTTTAGATTATAATTAATTGCTAGAGCAATTCGTCTTTTGATTTACTGACTGCTGATGCCAAGAATATTGATTGTGGAGCTGAGCAAGATGTAACTGTTAACAACCTTAATCTCTTCTCCATCTTTCATGATGCTGCCAAGTGTCCCAGTGGTGAGAATGCTGATTTTTCCCAGTTGGTAGTTTTCTTTTCACTCTGTTAAAAATAGTTCTTTTTGTTTTCTCCTGAATACATATTTTATTTTATTTTTTATAGTTTTAATGAACATTTACAGATATTTTGGATTTCCATTCATTCATTGCTGCACTTGTCTCCCCACCCAGCCCTTTTTTTATAAGCACACAGATTTAATTTAGAAGGTCTCATTCATCAATTTTATCCTCTCCAGAGTGAGCATATCTGGCTATATTTGACAGTCTCTTTATATCATAGACTAGGCTATCAAAGCTTGATCCCAGTTTGTCTCTGATGAACGTTATCGTTTTGGGCTTTACTCCAAGGTCTCTCATCCACCTTGAATTGATTTTTATGTGTGGTGTCAGATGTGGATCCTGCTTCAGCTCTCTACAGTTAGCAACCCAGTTTTGCCAGCACCGTTTGTTGAAGAAATTGTCATTTCCCTATTTGATAAATTTTATTTTCTTGTCGAATATTGGTTGACCATAGATAAGGTGGGTCCGTTTCTGGGTTCTCAATTCTGTTCCATTGTTCTGTGTGCCTGTCATTATACCACTACCATGCTGTTTTGGTTACTACTGCTGTGTAGTAGGTTTTGAGGCAGTGTAGCTTTTTACCAGTGTCCTTGCCCACTGTCTTAATTATTTAATGCTGCTATAGCAAAGAGACAAAAATGAATGGATTTAACAAACAGAAGTTTATTCTCCACACTTTGTTGTTATGTGTCATCAAGTTGAGTATGACTCATAGCAACCCTTATGAATAATAAATTTGAACTCTGTCATGTCATGCACCGTCATCATCATCTCTGATTTTCTTGAGCCCATTGTTGCACTCACTGCCTCAGTCCTTCTTGTTGAAGGTCTTCTTCTCTTTTTTGCTGACCCTTTACCAGCCCCTCCTAACAACATGCCCAAAATTTGTAAGAAGTTTTGCCATCTTTGTCTCTTAGTAGCATTTTGGCTGCAACTTCTCCAAGATCTATATGGGGTGTTTTTGATTTTGTTTTGTTTTTTTGCATTCAGTGAGGTACTCAGTATTCTTCTCTATCAATTCAAAGGCATTGATTCTTCTTCTATGAGCATTATTCATTGTTCAGCTTTCTAGTGCATAGCAGTGCCTTGAATCAGGTGCACCTTAGTCTTCAAACTGACATCACTGCTCTTCAGTACTTTGGAGAGTCCTTTATACCAGAGTTTCCCAATCCAATCTATGTTTTTATTTCTTAACAACTGATGGCTTCGTGTTGATGCAGATGTTGATTGGATGTTGATTGTAAAACCAAGTAAGATGAAATCATTGACAATTTTATTCCTTTCTCCATCTATCATGACGTTGCCTCTCAGCCTAGTGGTGAAAATTTTTTTCTTGAGGTTGAGATGCAGTTTATACTGAAGGCTGTAGTTTTGGATATTCTGCAGCAAGCATTTTAAGTTCTCCTCACTTTAAGTAAGCAAGGTCATACCTCCTGTTTAATGCAGGTTGTTGATGAGTCTTCCTCCTATCCTTATACCACAGTTTTCTTCATAGAGACAAATTCAGGCTGCTAACTCTACAGGAAGGCCTGCTCTCTTTCTTTTCATTTGTAGAGGAAAGTCCTTGCTTCCTTCAGCAGCTGTAGGCTGCCCTGCCTGGAATTTCTCTGTGCCTTGGCCTTCCTCAATGTTAAGAAGCTTCTTCTTGCAGAAACTCTTAATACTGGCAATTATTTCTTGATGTGGTTTTGAAGTCTTATCTTGACTCAAAATAGACCATACCCTTGTTAGCATTCCCTTATATCCAGTTAGGGCTGTGATGAGATGAAAGAATTTTGCATTCCTCCCTTACCTTTCCAACAACCACTTTGTATTTCTGTTCATCAGGGATCATAGTTTCCACATGGTATCTTTACATGCATATTTTTTGGGAGGACACAATCCAGTCCATGACTTTCACTCTCATAAAGTTCTACTTGTTGCCACTAGTTTAAGTCATATTCTGTAGAGTTTGCTGCCACATTGTCCACAGCTAATCTCAGGCTCTCTAGGCATTCAGAAGAAAAACAAGGACTTATCTAATGATTACCCCTCTTTTAGCAAAACATCTGCTGTAGTCCTACACAAAAGCAAAGGGATTTGCTGGGCTTTTTTAAGAGCTGTTTGATTTTTTTTTTTAAGTGCTAGAGTGAAGATTCTGTTCAAGATAATTTAATACTATGCAAAACACCATAAGCCTTGGTTTGGGAAAATGAAAATATTCCTGACTTGTTAGTCTTGACCAGTTGCTTAGAAATAACAAAGAGTTGATTAAAGAAGCTAGGAGTCTAACTGTTCAAAGTCTGTCCCTGTACTTTCAATGAGGTTCTTTGGCTAAATCAACAATAGGCAAATCCATCTATGGATTCACCTCAGCTAAAGATTTTATATATGAAACATTACATATATTTTCAAATTTATTTTATGTTAAGGATTATTTACCTGTGTACTCATACCCATGTTGCTAAATATGAGATGAAGCATTGCATTCAGTAAAACCTTGATTATAAATCTTTTCTTTACTTTCCACAGGTATGGATTAGAATGTTTATTCAGGTTTTATAGTTATGGACTGGAAAAAAAATTCAGACAAGAAATATATAAGGATTTCCAAGAAGAAACGAAAAAAGACTACGAATCTGGTAAAAACTAAGATACAGACCCTCTCTATGGAAATTGTTAACAGAAATCTGACAATGACTAGGGAGGGAATTCATATCTTTTTCTTCACTGCAGAACTTTTAAGACTTTTAGGCCACTATTAACAGCAAGAAGATCTTTTCTGTAAAATGCTAGAAAATAAGTGATCCCAGGTGTTTCCTTTATGGAGGCGTGTTTTATTGCTGCCCCTTCAAAAAATGCCTACTTGCATGGTCTAGTAAAGGAGAATGCTATCTAATGTCAGTAGCTATGCTTGGAAAGATAGAAAGGAATTAAAACTTTAGGCCAAATTAGACCCTAGATCAGAATACCATTTCTACTACAGTAAAATCTACCAAGCTGTGTAAGGCAGAAACTTGTCAGAGAAGGAAAATACTTTACATTAGTAGAACATTTGAAGTGGTAAGACTTCATTCTTTCAAAGGTGGAAAATTCACAAGACTTTGATAAAAAACAAAGCACTCCTATTAGGTTCTGGCTCTTCCAGTTTTGCTGTGCCCTGTAATGTGACCTTGGGCATATTTGTTTGAGTTTTAATAAGGTTATTTTATTTTATGTATATAAAATTTTATAGTCTTTTTAATAATTTTAAATTAATGATAAAAGTAGCCTCTATGATGAGCACATTTATATTAATTAAATTGTATTTTCTTAAATTGTCTTAGTGAAAGTTTACAGAAAGGTTAGGTTTTCATTCATTTATTGACACATTTCCTTCCGTCCTCCTCTTGGACAAATTTCTTAACGTTTCTAGCTTCCATTTCATCATTTATAATACACACTGAAACACCCAATCTACAGTTTTGTATGATTCCAATTAGGGAGATATCTACGACACATAATAAAGTATTTAGAATAATTTTTATTACAAAGCAGTTATTCACAAATGTGTTAGAATGTTAGCTATCATTACTGTTTATTTCATAATAATATTCTCAAGGGGTAGATAAGGAGCATAATGGAAGAAATACTGTATCCTCAAATAGGATCATGTTCATTGTGCATCACATTTTAAGAACTGGGTGTAATTCATGCTATCTGTTCTTTGTTAATAGGTCAGCTGTATGGATTAGAAAAGTTCTGGGCTTATCTAAAATACTCACAGTCAAATACACAGTCTATTGACCCAAAACTTCAGGAATACCTCTGTAGTTTCAAGCGGTTAGAAGATTTCCGTGTTGATGTAAGTTTTAGTCTTTTCATTCGTCTATATTTTATTATTTGTGTTACTCTTCTGTTTTGATCTCTTATCAATGGCTTTCTATAAACTTAATTTTGAATTTTTAAAATTTTTTTAACTTTATGTTTAGCAATAATGTCAAACTTTAAAAACAGGTGCAGAATTAGTATACTTTAGCATCTAGATCTTAACATCTTGAAAAAACTTAATACAATTTTAATTTTTATAGGCCCTATCACTAAATATTTTTAAGATTTGCTAGCTTTTGTATATGTGTTATTAATTTCTTAGTAGTTGTTTGAAGAATTTTTAGTGTTTAATGTACTTTTAGCCACATAAAGTTTTTGTAACATATATAATGGCTTCAGGATACCCTTTTATTATATTAGGGCAAGAATACTATGCTCATATGTACAGGCAGGACAGTGCCCTAAACAATCTGATTTCAAGAAGAAAAACAACACTTGAGGAAAAAGTTGGGATGAACAAAAGAAGATAAGGTAAAAAGAGGAAGAAGAGAAATTAAAAGAAATAAAAAAAGAAGAAAAAGAGAGCTAGAGATAGAAAATAGGGAAGATACAGTTAGAGAAGGGAGGTCAAGTTAATTTCTGTTTACTGTTTAATTAGTTTTGCAGTTTTGTGTAAATGAATTGGATGGCTCAGAGATGGAATTAATAGAAATACTTGTATGCTTAGAAGTAAGAGCTAATTTCTAGATTGAAGTAGCCAGTTCCATAACAAGAATATGTACCGCTCTGTGGTAGTTACTTGTTGTAACTCTTGCCTTATCTGAATAAAAGCTAATAAATCCAATGTCCTTTCGGGAGTATAACAGAAGATTTGAGAAAGAGTCTATCATCTTAACAACTCTCCAAAGAAAATACTAGTCTAGTGTTATATGACTCTGGGTTCTTAAAACTCTGTACCTGGAAAGGCCTGTAAAGCTTATTTTGTAATGTAAAGTACTTTTTACTGCCTACCTATTTCTCCTGACTGTTTCAAGGAACTTAGTTAGGATCTTAATGGTATTTATATTTTAAAGATGTTTACATTTATTGTTATCAGTAATACTCTCTTTATCCTAGGAGTCCTAGATAAACTTTCAGACTTGATGAAAGTTCTTTGACTCTTCTCTCCACCCTGCTATATTGATGTATCTGTGAGTCAAACATTACTAAATTCAAGCAAGCCTAGGATATGAGTTTAGGATATGAGGAAAGGACTAGACTTCCACATAATTTGCAGTGAATAGAGGTGAATAATAAAGTGTCTCAGAAATGTTTTCTTGAAAGCCAGAAGTACAACTTCCATCCTTTTACTTATGCCTTATTATGTACCTTGTCCTAAAACATAAAAGACGCTTGATAAAAATGTGATGTGAAAGCATGAGCAAATGTTGGTGGGCACATTTAGTTGGGGGATTAAATTTTTTTCTAAATGACTTAAATTGATCCTAACTTTGTATTAAACTAATAAAATCTGAAACACCAACGTAATTGCTCTTCTTGTTGGCAAAGTCTGGTCTTAGGTCATACAGTAAAATTGTCAACTGTGTTTTGTTTCATGATTTGCAGCCTCCTATTAGTGAAGAATTTGGAAGAAAAAGATATTCATCTTCTACTGTTGAGGAAAGTAATCGTCATAGACTTCCATCTAATTCCTCTACAAAGCCACCAAATGCTGCTAGTAAGCCTTCATCTGCAGTTCAGCTTCAGGCCACAGTTAACTTTTCCAGAAGGAATACTTGACAGAAATCCAGTGACAGTTTGCACCAGAACAGTCCTGCCTCAGTTTCAACAAATGGTGAAATGCCTGAGAAATAGACTCTTAAGAAAGTTGTTTGTCCTTGAAACCAGCATCTCTATCAGTATTTGTTTGGGAAAAATCTTCTGATGCCTAATTGTGAGAATCAGAAAAAAAGCAAAAGAGCAATAGTAGCATTTTTCCTGTCAAGATAAATTCTAAAAGCGTTTTCCTTGATTTTGTGAACAAGGATAATTTTGGGGACCTTTATAGAGATCCTCTAGTTATGTATTTTGGTCTCAGTATTTTGTTTTCAAAGCCATTGTTTATAAGAACAGCATTCCTTAAATACATTTTAAAATATGAGGAATGCTTGACATTTCAGCTCATACTTCTTAAAGAAGATACAGTATGTTGTATTCATCTCTTCTATAGAGCTTTCTTAAAAAATCCAAATTACCCCACTATCAACTCATATTTGAACATATAAAATATAAAGGAAGATTACGTATATATTTTTAAATTCATAAAAAGAATATGTAATGATAAGTTTACTCTTCTTTCAGAAATATAATTTAAAGGAATTTTTTTTCCATAGCTGTAAAAATATATAGCAAGAGTGTATAGCTAAATTGAAGTATGAGTACTTTGGATGCTTGGTTTTGCTCCCCCCCCCCCCTATTTTCAGTGTCATACCTCATGACTACTGTATCTACTGTGTTGGTGTGAAGTTTTCTGAATAGGAAAGATTTACTTTTATTTTCTATATAAATTTGTACAAGTAATTGAAAATTGGTTTGGGATTGGTAGGATTGTCCTAAATGAATTAAATCTTGCACTGTTTAGAATGCATCCTCTGTACATTTGCAGGTGAGTATGGCACAAGCATTCAGATTATCTTCAATTTAAAAGAAGTACTTTTTCCTCTCTTTGTTTCTTTTAAATTTGCTTTATGCTCAGTATTTTTAAGAGTTATAACAGATTTATTTCTATTTTAATTTTTATTGCTTTTGCAACTAATGTAAATTATAGTTTCCGTTTTTATGGGAGTTCAAAAAATAAAGCAATTTTCTGAATTATTTGAATTGATTTTTAATTTTTTAAATTTTGGAATGTAGTTGAAAAGTTGTAATTGTATTTAGGTTTTTCTAGTAGAAGACAGTTATATTTATGAAAGATTCAGTTTGCATCTATTTTTATTTAGTACAACGTGTTTCACATATGTTTATTATTTTGGCAAAAACACCTAGTATCAGTATACTAAATTCTTCTTTTTGAATGGGGGAAGTAGATAGCCTGTACTTAAAAATAACATTTAAGTATGTACAGTCTTCTTTGGGTAAATGACCTATTCATCACCAAGTAAGAAATTTTCATGAAGTTACTTTCCATGCATGAATGATAATGGGGCGTTTTCAATTATTATTATTATTTTTATAAGTCAAATTTGAACATTAGAAAATGAATTTTACTTAGAGAAGTTAGAAAAGGGATGCAAAACAGCTAATGGATTAGAATAATTTTAATACATTTTCTTAAGTAGACGTGGTTCTGGCATTTCTATGCAAAATTTCTGAACCATGCTTACTGTGAACTTTAAATCAACTTTTAGAATAATACAGAAATTCTTTTCAGTATCTTTTTGTGTTAGGAACCTTTTTTTAACCTGGTATCATTTCTGCTTACCTAAGTATGCAAGTGTATATTTAATTGGAAAATTGTATATTTTATATGAATCAAGAGTTTTATTATATGTTAATTAGTATTTTATCATATTTTAATTTATAAAAGTAATACATGTACACTGGGAAGTTGGAAAAAAAAACACCAAAATATCCAAAACCCACAAAGAATAAAGTATCTTTTTTAAAAAGAAAAATCCCAAAATTGGTATCATCTATACATACGGTGTTGCAACCTGTTCCCTCTTACCCTCACTCAGTGGAGGTGAGGTTTTTCTGGGTTAGTCTCTCTGTTGTTGCGATTAAGTCAGTTTCACATCATGATAACATAAGCCATCACTTAATAATAGCCATGTAGTGTTCCATCATATGGATGTATCATAGTTTATTTAACTAGTTTTGGCTTTTATAAACAATGATTTGAGTCATCATTTGCTTGTAGATTAATTTCTGTATATAAAATTGGAGTTATTTGATAGAATCAGTTCTTAGAAAATGTAAGTAAAAACATTGGTGTTAGGTGTCATTGAGTAAACTGACTCATAGTGGCTTAATGAACCTTTTCCTCTGCCATCTTGATCATGTTCAAGACCATTTTGTAGTCACTGTGTCATTGTCATTCACCTTTCACCTTTCTCAGCATGATGTCTTGACAATAGGCCCCTCTTGACAACATGCCCAAAGTAATGTGAGATGGAAGTTTACCTTTCCTTGCCTCTTAAGAGCTCTCTGATTTCACTTCCTCCAGGACAGATTTGTTGGTTCTTTCTGCAGTCCATGCTATTTACAATGCTTTTTGCCACCACCACAATTCAAACCTTTTAAGAAAGGTTGTACACTTACTCTCACCAATAGTATAGGCTTCACAATATCCTCTCCAGCACCACTTATTGTAAGATTTCTCAGTGTTAGGTTGAGAAGCAAGAAATAGGATTTTAACATATCATTAATGGTAGTATTAGAATCAGATTACTAATTAGTGATACATTTTAATACTTATCAGCTATATTAGTTGCAGATCACTTGATTATATCTTTTATGTTTCCATTGATCCTCTCTTCTCTTTCCCCTCCCCCTTCCCTGATTGATTTATGGAGCATTTTTATTTACCAAGAATATTAAACCTTTTGCATTCTAATTTTCGTGGACATGTTTGGGGCACATTTTATATGTCATTTAAAGGAATAGCAAATACAAAACTCAGAGAAGTAGAAGCATTGTCTCTAAAGATCTTACATGATCTCTAGAAGGGAATCGCTCTTTCTTACAATTTTGCAGAGTTTTCAATATTATTAAATAAAAATGGCAGTTTTATAAATGTTTAAATCCAAATTCCTTGCTTTTTAAAAAGATGTGATTGAAGCCATCTCTGGAAGTATGTTATATTGAAAAAGAATTAAGGGAAGGAAGAAAGTAATTATGTTTTGAAACTTGTATCATTTTTGTTTTAAAATACTTTAAAAATTTTTTTTTTTGTTGTAGTTTGCTCTATTCTGACATTCTCCCATGCCTCACCTTATCTACTCTAAGTGGTAGTGCCATTTTGCTATTTTTTTTCCCTGTGCTTACTCTTTGAACTTGTTGTTAGGGCCATTAAGTAAAATATGACACTTAGTAACCCTGTGAACAACGGACCTCAACCTTGCTCCATCCTGTACAGTCCTCATCACTGACACTGTTGCTGAAGTCACCATGTCAATCCATCTTAGGTGTCCTCCTCTCCTTTGCTTACCCTCATTCTTTCCAAGCAAGATGTCTCTTTCCAAGGAATAGGCTCTCCTAGCTACAAGTGCGTAGTATGAAAATGGAGCTCTGCCTTCCTTGGCTGCACTTTTCCCATGACATTATCTGTTTGTTCTTTTGGCTGTCCTTTCCAATCCTTTTCTCCAGCACCGTAACTCAAAGGCATCAATTCTTCTGTCATCCCTAATTGATTTTTGTGCCTAGCAGGTGATTTGGGAAGACCATAAGATCTTACAAAATTACTTTTATTTTTGTTCTTGCATGGGAAACTAAGAGAATACGAAATCGTTAATAACTACTTTTATTGCCACTAGATGGCAGAATGAAATGTCACTTTTAAAAGAATGGGAGAGTGTGTGTGTGTGTGTGTGTGTGTGTGTGTGTGTGTGTGTGTGTGTAAGTGTGTGTAAATGCTTTCTCCACCTTGTGGTGATATCATATCATTACACCAATTTCCCTTTTTTATTTAAATTTTTAAGAATTTTATTTTATACTGGTTTACATACAAACTGCATATATATTGTTTTTCACATCTGATCTTTCCCATTTCCTTAATCCACTCCTCCTTCCACCCATCAAATTGTTCAGCCCTGTGATTACCACTCCCAACCCTCACCCCTCCTCACTGCTCTCCTCCCCTCCCCTTAAATTCTCATACATGTTTTCCTGGTTATCTGTTTCTATAGTAATGGTCTTATACAGTATTTGCCTTAGAGGACCAAGTTAGTTCACTTAGCATAAAGCTCTCCAGTGTTAAGTTGTTGTTGTTGTTGTTGTTATGTGCCATCGAGTCACTTGCGACTCATAGCGACCCTATGTACAGCAACCCTAAACCCTGCTCTATCCTGTGCCAATTGCACTGTCTCTCCAAGGTCCGGTCCCTCCTTACAACATGTCCAAAGTATGTCAGACGAAGCCCCAGAATCCTTGCCTCCAAGGAGCCGCCCAGTTTAACCCTCTCCAGGATGAATCTGTTTGTTTTCCTAGCAGTCCATGGTACCCCCAACACTCTTCTCCAGCACCACAGCTCAAAGGTGTCAGTTCTCCTTCTATCCTCCTTAGTCATGGTCCAACTCTCTGATGCATAACAAGTGATTGCAAAGACTATGGCCTGTATCAAACACACCTTAGTCTCCAGAGAGACACCATTGCTCTTCGTTACTTTGGGACCTCTCCTTTGGAGAGGTCCCAAAGAGCAGACTTTTCCATTGTAATACGTCTTTTAATTTCTGTGCAGAGGGGGGTGCAGAGGGGGATACAGAGGAATCTGTGTGGGCAGAATACAGGCCAATACAGAAGTAACTTGTGGGAAAACTTCACCCGGCCCCACAGGTAAACAAGAGGCCCAAGGCAGCGCCTAAATCGTTCCCAGGACACGCAGAGGGGGATACAGAAGAGTGTCAAGTTAGGCAGTGATTTATAAAATCATTGCTCGTGCATCCTCCATAGTATTTCATCATGTATAATTTCTCAGTCCATTTTATTATGGTTGGGCATTTGGGCTGTTTCCATGTTCTTGTGATGGCAAATAATGCTGCTATAAACATTAATATACAATTCTCCATTTGTGCCAGAGTTCTCATTTTATCAGGGTATATTCCAAGCAGTGGAATAGCTGGGTCATATGGAATTTCTATGTTCAGCTTTCTGAGGAA